TTGCAGTCTGAGTCAGAATCTGTGAATTTGCACACAATGTACCTTATTTGCAAGTGGCAAAAATTAGCAACACTGTCCTGTACCTTGAATAATGCAGATATAGCTGATGAAGTAGGTGAAAGATACGAAATGCATAAAACCGACTAACTTCAGTTCTTCAGACAATATTATATGTTTTTTTGCCAAAAAATGTTAATTGATAAGCAATAAAATGGAACAGATGATGCAAAAACAATCTAGCTATTTGACAGCATGGGCTTACATCAGGCACAGCACTCGAATCAGTGCTGGTAGCTTAGTAAAAGCCACCATTAACCCGAATTAAAGCGAGAGTGCTTGCATTATTAGTGCAGCCTGTGGAAAACAGAGTATCCAAACCTGAACTTGCTGTTCCCACTGGATGTGTTTTGTGATTGGATCAAAAAGGAGTATAATATATAGAGGGTGCTCCAGCCTTCATGGGCTGCACTTTGCTGTTGTTAGAGATGGGTGACCCACATTCATCCTCCCGATTTAAATTCTAGTTACATAAGTGACCTATAAAGTGATGTAGATCTTTTCTTTTTCTCTTTATCATGTATCTTTGTATGCATTTTAGATGACATTGCAAGAATATAATATGATTCACAATGATGAAGATGATGAGGAGTTTTTACAGCGATACAGAAAGCAGCGTATGGAGGAGATGAGGCAGCAGTTACACAGTGGGCAGCAATTTAAACAGGTTTTTGAGATTACTAGTGGGGAAGCATTTTTGGACACAGTTGATAAAGAACATAAGACCACACTGATCATGATCCATATTTATGAAGATGATATCCCTGGTACTGAGTCTCTGAACGGCTGTATGATCTGCCTGGCAGCTGAGTACCCAACAGTTAAATTTTGCCGAGTAAAGAGTTCGCTCATTGGCGCCAGCGCTCGCTTTACTAACAACGCTCTGCCAGCTTTGCTCATCTATAAGGCAGGTGAACTCATCGGTAATTTCGTGCGAATCACTGACCAGCTTGGAGAAGATTTTTTTGCTGTAGACCTGGAGGCTTTTTTGCAAGAATGCGGTCTGCTTCCAGAGAAAGACCTAGTGCTGCTGACTTCTATACATAATCCGTCTGCGTGTTACAGTGAAGACAGTGATCTGGAAATAGACTGAACCAGTTATACCAAGGGACCAGGAGGTTTAGCTGTACTGTGGGTTATTCTTGTGCTAGAAGTTGTTTTCTTTATTTCTTTGTGTTGATATGTTATATTTTCCCTCCATGCACTTTGACTTTCGCTTGTTAAAACTTGGTTAAGGATAACATAAGGAGGTCCTAATGTTTTCTTAAATTACTTTAATAAAATGTGCACTAAAAATGTCTAGCTCTTACGTAATCCAAATGTATTATAAAGTTATAATTCAGTAAATGTAGTGAATTGTGTATTATATTGTCATCTCTGTTCTCCAAATCCCTTAGATTTTCTAAACCTTTTTCTGTCAGATAACCTCTGTGTAGTCAGTCTCCTTAAAGGTTTGCTGAAGCAGCATATCTGCCCACCAGTTGAGATCAGGATGTGATACCTACCTACTCATGAAGACAAGGATTGAGACCACAGATTAAGAAATTCTTAAGCATTCAGGACTTCTGTTAATCTGGAGCTGACCTGCTGCCAGTGAGTTAAGAGTTCAAGATCCCATCTTCCCTTCCCTGATTTATGGGCTCCTCCTTGGCAGCAATTTTGCTGTAATTATCATTATTGTTTTTCCTTTCTCACTTAAAATAACCACAGCTTCTGACTTCATCCTAAAAATTACTTTATTATTTTCAGATGGAGAGGGTTCTGCTTTCCTTTATCTTATCTGAAACTTAAATGAGGAAAATGTTTTTTCAATTACAGTTCTTAATACTGGGCTTTTAAAATACTCTCCCCTGGAGTCCATAGTGCTTACTCAAGCAGAAAGTGATTTCTGCCTCTTAAGAGGGAGACCAGCTCTAAAAGCAGCCTAGGAAGAGCTCTGATGTGATGCTCTGAAAAGTATCCCAGAGTACTTTTTGGCAAAATGTTGAATTAGGACTTGGTAGCATCAGAATTTCACCTACTATCTGTAATGTTCCTGAGAACTATTAAATCAGTGCTAAAATTCATTTTTGTCTGCTTTCCTATGACCTGCTTTGCCTGAGGTGGGAGATGCGTTTTGCCTGTGCGTGACACCAAGCCGGGAGCTGTGGCTGAAAGCTTGATGGGAGAGGAGCCTTGAGCCCCTCGAGGCCGGATCGCTGGTGCCGGTGTTGAGGAGCGGGCCCCTTTCCCACAGCCCATTCCCTGTTTGAAGCTCAGTATCTAGCTTCTGCACAGAATGTTCAGCTGGATCAAGAATGTCACTATCCTGTTTTCCCTCTGACGCTAGCTCCTTGGGAGTCTATTTTTGTACAGTACATCAGTGGAGTTCACTTAGCACAGGGAAAAAAGTCCCGTGGGGGGTCGGCGGGCGTGGGTGAAACCTCTGGGGAGATCCTGCGGAGTTTTCCTCTGCCTTTTGTTGCAAACAACAAAGACCTTTTTAAAAGCATCCCTATTGCTGTTGCAGTTGCCCAGCAACCTGGATCCAAAAGTTCTCCTCCCAAAACACAGGGTCCCCCCTGCCCCCTCAGAAACAGAACAGGGCTTGGAGCATTGGCTGAGCCCCTTTGGTTCCTCATTATTGCTGCTGAGTGCTGCAGCTGTGTGTTACACTTCCCTCCTGCAGCATCTGTCATAATCATTTGTCACTGATCACACTTTATTAAAGTGTTTGTTTCACTCCATAAACTACAGCATAGTATAAGGGAGTAAGTTTCAGGGTTTCTAATACATGAACAGTTCCCCCTGCCTCCACCAGCCCTGTGCTTTGCTGGTGTAAGGCAGCCTGGGCAGCTTAGAAACCATTAGCGATTTATAGTGGGAGTCCTGCCCGGACGGGGCCCAGGGCCTGGGCTGCTTCCCTGCCCGTCCATGCGGCGCAGCGGAGACCCAAGCGCCTGTGCAGCCGTGGGCTGCTCGGCCTCTCCTATCTCACCCCTACAAAACATCTCACCAGGAAGAAGGTTTAATGTACGCATAGATTTTATGTGATAGAAATACACCGTGTTGGGTTTAAGCGCTGTGTTTGCAGCATCTGCAGCACTGAGACACAAACTGGTGGCTGGGGGTGAGGCAGCAGAGCGGGTGGCAGGAGATCGGGGCTTGCGGATCGCCCTTCCAAAGCGCTCCATGCAGAGGGTCATTCCCTTTATTTCTTTGGCTATGGACAGCCCTGCATTGGGCTATATCTTGCCTGGGGCCGCCAGCTTTCACCAGTGACTTGTTCTCCAGCAGATTCTGCTTCCTCCTGCCCGCTGTGCAGCGGCCTCTGCTAAGTGAAAGCTTCAAAACTTGCTGGAAGAACTTAGAAGGGTTTAAAAAAATTGTTGGAAGCGTCCATTTTCCTGCAGGTGAGCTGTGGTCTTCCTAGGACCGAAGCAGGGGTGCTGGCTGCCAGCAATCGCATCGTGTTAGCAAGGGATCGAGCCACCGCCGCGCCAGAACCAGCCTCTGCCGCTTGCTGCCCGTCTCACCGCGCACGCCAGCGTGTGCTCGGGCCCCTGCGCGGGCTGCCTTGGCCTGCTGCAGGACACGAGGACGCTGACGAGCTCAGAGCGCTCCACGTGCCCCCTGCTCCTCTGCGTCCTGCGGTTTGGGTGCGTAGGAAGCGTGCTCCTGGTCTGCGCTGCAAAGCGGTGGCGGGCGGAGGGCGAGAGAGCAGGGCGGCCAGATACGGGGAGCCCCCTGAACAACCCCAGAAGTTAGTGCAGGGTATTTGTTAGCAAAATAAGGTGGTCTACCGAGGCCTGTTCATGGGAGCTATAATTTTTAAGGCACTTCAGCTTTTCTTGGAGCATGAACCAGCTTTCCCCCCACTGCCCAGGGCTCCAGCAATGTCGTGGAGAAAGCCTGGAGCTGTGCGACCTCCTGTCCCGCTGGGTTTGGCAGAGGGGGTTTGCAGGTCTCCTCTCCTTCCCACCGTTCTCTGCAAGAGTGAACAGCACATTCAGGGCCAGGCTGAGTGCCTAGCCCAGCCCAGGGCCAGGGGGAGGACGGTCTCTACCTGTGCAGGGCCATCGAGGTGCTAGAGCTCGGTAGATGATCCACGACGCTGCTGTGTCCCGCTTGCTCCTGGTTCCACAATGTCCGGCACACGAAAAGACACGTATGGGCACTTCTTCACATTGAGGCACACGAGTTTCTTCAGCGACGCTGTCTTAACTATCTCAAAGCCAGTTGCTCCACCAAATGTGCTGGGTTTCCAGTACTCGGGGGAGCAGATGGGGTTTCCTAGGAGCCCCTTCAAGGAAAATGGAGATCCAATCTCCACCATGCTTTCCCCAAACATTGAATTGGGAAGGGGTTTCTCGAGCAGCAAGCCCACGTAAAACTCCAGGGCATCAATGTCTCCATAGAGCTCCTCCAGCTCTGCCGCCTTCTCTTCCTCTCCTGCATGGAGGGAAGAGCAGAGCACATTAGAGGAGCAGCCTGCAGCAGGACTCGGCCTGGCTCTTGGGATGGGGCCGCTGCCCTCCTACCTGTCAGTTCCTGGAAGGACGTGTA